AGATCCTCGGTGGCACCAGCCGGCCGAGGCAGCGAGGGCTGGAGCGTGGCGTGCGGTGGCAGGGGAAACCCTCTAGATGTCACGAGAGCCACGGCGCATCCCGGCCACGCTCCCCACCGAGGAGGCCGGGTGCTCCATGAGCCCCCCAGCCCAGCCAGACCCCTCCGGCACGCAGGGATCGGCCGCTTTCGTGTGCGTCCCCGTGCAAGGGCGAGGGACGGCTTTTTGAGTAAAAATCCTGCAGTTTGCTCCCAATGCTCACAAGTCAGCAACAGCAAATCAGTAGCAAATCCTGCAGGGGTGGGAGGGGACGGAGGCTTGCAGGGGGATGGCAAAGGCAGGGAGAAGCACTGGGGGGGTCCCTCCCGGGCTGGGGGGGCAGCCCCCTGCTGCAGGGGCCCTTGGCATCGCCTGCGGTGCCCCTTGCTCCCGGGGGTCTCTCTGGCAGATGCCGCAGCTGAGCGCCCGGCACCTCCGGGGTCGGGAGGAGCTGCACTTGGCGCATCTGGTGCTCAGCTTCATCACCATGGGCTACCTCTGGCAGGAGGGCGAGGAGGGCGCCGTGAAGGTAAGAGCAATGCCGAGCAAGTTCCCCTGCTCCTTGGGACCTGGGGGCTGGTGCTGCTCCCTTGGGACCTGGGGGCTGGTGCTGCTCCCGTGGGACCTGGGGGCTGGGGCTGCTCCCGTGGGATGAGTCCCAGGGAGCTCAGGGTCCCCAAAGCCCCTCTCCTGAGGCGCAGCAGGAGTGTGACCCCTCCTGCCTGGCCCGGGCCCCTTTCACCAGCTCCACAGTGTCCTGGTCTTCTCCTTGTGCCCTTCAGGTCCTGCCCCGAAATCTCGCCGTCCCCTTCTGGGAGGTCTCGCAGGCCCTCGGGCTCCCACCCATCCTCAGCCACGCGGACTTTGTGTTGGCCAACTGGAGGAGGAGGAACCCCAACGGGTAAACGGGCAAACGCCGGCAGACTGAGCACCACGCTTCCCACGTTGGGGCAGCAGCGATGAGCCCCAGCAGGGCCCGTCCAGCACAACGGGGACGAACGGTTCCCAAACCACTGCTGTTCTGCCAAAACCCATCGCTGGGGGCCTGTCTCGCGGGGAAGGTCTGGGGAATGGTCCAGGGCTGCCGGCACTGCAGACACGGGCACCCAGCGGGGAACTGGGTGCCTCTGGGAGCACCCCCGGGGGCCGGCGGCTCCTGCGGGCCAGCGAGCTCATCCGTCTCCTACAGAGCACAGTCCTGTTGCTGAATGATTTATAACATCTCTCCTTCTATCTCCTTTTCTTGTGCATTTGCTGGCAATAACGGAAATGCCTTCAGGCCTCTGGAAATTGAGTAAGTATTTAAGATGCTTATTTAGTCCCTAACAATATTAGTTTTGTTTGAATTGGCTTAGCACTCCAACACTGCAGGGCTCGGCTTAGGTCGAACCTACCTCTTGATTTATGAGCACAACAAAACCAGCTCAGGCTTTGGCACGCAAATGCCACTGCAACAACAGCAAAGTGCCGTGACCGCGGCTGAACCGTGGGCTGCTCCTGGCTGCCATGGGCCAGACTTGCCCCGGGAGTGCATGGGGTGGGTTGCAGATCCCTCGGAACTGGAGCAGCCCCTCTCCCCTCTTGCCCTGTGCCAGCTCGGCTCTGCCTGGGGAGCAGAGAAGCGGCTCTGCGGCCAGGAGGGGTTTGCTCCAAGGAGCTCAGTGGGTCCTGGGGTGTGGGGGGAAACCCCGAGCAAGCTCCCTCCCAACCCCCACGCACTTGGCCGCACCACCCGTCACCCCTGCAGGAACCTGGACACCATCATCTCACTGCCTGGGGGAGAGAGCCTGCGAGGCTTCATCCTCGTCACCCTCCTGGTTGAGAAGGCGGCGGTGCCTGGGATTAAGGTAGGGTACCACCGTGCCCGTAGCTCTTTGCTCGCCTGGAAAGCACCCGCAGGCGCGCGCCCACGAGGTGTTCCCCGTGGCAGCGGGTGTCCAGCATCGCCGTGCCCAAACATCCCAGGCTCCTCAACGCTTTGTACTCTCCCCTCCTCTCGCAGGCAACCGTCCAGGCTGTCCGTGCCATCCTGCAGCTCGATGAGGAGACCCTGCACAGAGCCCTGCGGGAGCTGGCGGAGGCCATCGGGGACATGAGCAAGGCTTTGAAACGGATGCACGGTAACAGCAGCCTGCAGCTGGAGGCAGCTCCTGTCCTCGTCGCTGCGCACGCTTTAGCTCATCGGATGCAGCAGTGTAAACGTGCTCGGCCCAAAAAGCATCTCTGGAGGGAGGGAGCGGGAAGGGGCAGGAATAATTCAGGGCAGCGCTGTGCTCCCAGGATGGAACATGGGGTCTGAGCACCCCAACGGGCCCAGGGTAAAAGTGTGGGGTGGTTTTGGGCTGAGCAGCTCTGAGCGCCAATGCTGCACACAGCGGTGCCCCAAGGAGCCCAGCCGGGGGAAGCCCACCCTGGGGAGGGGGCACCAGCGCCCTGCAAGGTGCCGGCCCCTTCTCGGAGCAGGCCCGGGCGGGGGGAGCACTGCCATAGGGGAATGCTGCTGCAGAGGGCACGAGTTGCCTCCTGCCCGCAGGAACGGCTGTGCTCTGATTTCCTCCTAGACTATGTGGACCCAGCAGTATTTTACTCTGTGATCCGGATCTTTCTCTCCGGGTAAGCACGGTGCCCTTTCATCCAAAGCCGTTGTGTCGGCAGCTCCCGGGGCCGGGGGAGCAGGGGATGCGCTGAGAAGGGGCGGCCCAGACGGGGCACGGGGTCCCCCCGGGTGGGGAAGGAGCCGGCGCTGCGTCCGGCAGCGGTGGCCCCTCAGGGGAGGGAGTCTCTTTCCCCTGCGTGTTAAGGAAACATCTATAACAAACCTCTTGCTCTTGCTCCATTACAAATCTTATTAATTAAAAAACCCCAATCCCCCCCCCCAGTACTGAAAAGAGTCATTTGGCAGGGCAGAAACACGGCCGTGAGAGCCCAGGGCTGTGGGTTTGCCCTCCCTCATCTTCCCCACGGGGCTGCAAGCGTCCCCAACCGCTTTGCTCCTCAGCTTCTCCGAGGATTTCTATTTTGGTTGCTCCTCGGCATATCTCAGCATTCCCAAGTCAAAAGGCCCCATGTGTCCTGATTAAGTTTCTCTCATTTTTATCCAAGCTGACCTTGTCCGGATGGTCATCAGCCTGGAAAAACATGCCTTTTAAATTCCCTTCTGCTTAGAAGAACTTCCCACTAGTAAGGGTTACTATAAATACATCCCCAGGAGAGCTAAAAATATCACGGTATTTGATAATGAATCTATTTTCTCTGCATTTTGTGCAAAATCTGCTCCAGCCGTCGAGCAGCCTCAGCAGCCAGCACCAAAAGCTTCACAAAACGGTGCATTCTTCAGAAGGTCAAGCGATATTTTTGTGTCAGGCACATTATCTCACTGAAATTATAACTCTTCTTTCCGTCCGTGAGGGAGCGTTTACCCATTTTTGCACAACAGGCACACAAAGCTGGGTGACAGGGGCTGTGAGTTAATGGTGTACAGGGGGGGAGGCACCGCCGCTGCCCCGTTCCTGGGCCTGCCGAGGACGAGCGGCTTTGTGAGAGGGAGGAAATCACATTTTGGGCTTGGTCTCTGCTGAAGTAAATAAAAGGCAAGCTGTCCTGCGCTGCCTTAAGAGACATCTCAAGAGCAACAGGACCAGGCAAAAATCCCAAAGTGCAAACCTCAAGGGCTCGGAGGAGCGTTTGGGCAATGTTTGGGCAACCCCCCCTTCTCCCAACGGCCACCGAGGTTTCAAGGCATCAGCGTTAGGTGCCACTATTGCCCAGACAAGTGCCCCCTCCCTCCTGCACACCCCACCCAGCCCTGCACGTGCAAACCGCCACGCGGCACCGAGCAGGAGACGGAGCTGCAGCCTCGGCACAGGGCAGCGCGTCCCGGGACGCGGCCACGGGTGCTCTCCAGCATGCAGCATTCCCATCCAATGACCCTCTCTCCTAGGCCACGGATAATTAAGGATTTCTCCCTACACCATGTCCTTGTCATGCGCACAGCGTTTGATTTCCAAGTTTATCTCGTGTTTGAGGGCAGCCGACAAGGCTGAGCGAGGAGGAGGAGGAGATCCATGGGCTGGGTCAGGAAGGCTTTGCCCAGTCTGGCCAGCCCAGGGTCCCTTCGCGCAGCCCCCCCGTTATCAGCCACCCCACGCCGTTCCCTTCCTGACTGCCGTGTCTTCCTGCTCAGCTGGAAGGACAACCCGGCCATGCCGGACGGGCTGATATACGAAGGTGTGTCTGCGGAGCCCATGGCGTACTCGGGAGGCAGCGCGGCGCAGAGCACCGTCCTTCACGCCTTTGATGAGCTCCTGGGGATTCGCCACAGCGAGGAGAGCAGTAAGCCTCACGCTTTTCCTTTTTCCTGAGCAAATGAGGGGCAGGGGAAGAACCGAGCCAGAGCCATTCCCGTGGCGGAGCCCGGCTCTGCCAGCTGACACGGCACGCACCCCTCTGGCCCTGGCAAAACGCTTGCCAAGCCCGGCCGGGATGAGGGTTCGTTAGGGAGGGAGCCCGTAAATGAGGCTCTGGCCGGCGCTTCCCCGCCGCTGTCCATTCCCAGCTGGATGGATTTTGCTCTTTACTGGGGTTACATATGGGTGCAGAGATGAGGGAGCAGAACACGCCAGCATCCTGGGAGTCATTTAGCACATCCATCCACATCGCTACGTTAGCCTGGCCCACAAACAGGATATATTTATCAGAAATTAGCAAAACCACTCTAATGGCAACAAAAATAAATACCCCAAACAACCTGAAACCAAAAGGCTGAGCGCAAGGGCTAAAACCTGCCTTTTAGGGTTAAGACCAACCCTAACAGAGCATGGACCTAATATGGGGTTTCTTAATTAATTGGAGGCACCGAGAGGGACCAGAGGAGCTGGGCAGGCTGTCGGTACCACCCAGCGCCGTGGTCCCTGCAGACTGCACCGGTGCTCCCCAAGAGCATCAGGGTGCTTTAACCCACTCGCCCCCCACTGATTTGCTGTGCCCTCCGCCCCCCTTCCTGCAGAGGATGAGGGCCTACATGCCCCCGCCCCACCGAGCCTTTGTGGAGGCGATCCGCCGCGCCCCCTCCCTCAAGCAGCACGGGCTCGCCTCCGGAGACGCGCGGCTCCGCGCGGCGTTCAACCAGTGCGTCTCTGCGCTGGCAGACTTCAGGTCCTACCACATCACCATCGTCACCAAGTACATCACCGTCGCGGTGGCCAAAGCCAGGGCTGGGCGGGCAGAGCCGGGGGACAGGGCTGGCCCCTTGGCAGGGAAGCCTCCGTCGGCGCTGGAGGCCAAAGGGACCGGC